GATTAGTACAAATGACCTGCAACTACTCCAATTAAGAGGTTTCTTGGGTTAGAAATCTGTGACCTACAATGAGTTGTCATAGAAACCAATATGAACGTTTCAGCTCAAAAATCACTTCAAAATAATGGCTTAGTTCATCATCTCATACCAGGTGACATAGCTCCTCTGAATCCAAAATCTAGAGTCTGTCCCTACACTAAAATTCTTCTGCCAGCCCTGGGTGACAGTCAGACTGTTTTACTTCTGTTTTTTATGTATACTGCAGTTGCTTCAGTACGGGGATATTCCCAGAGCAGGAGGATGGACTAGAATGGCAACAGAGGGAACTGTGGGAACTGTCTGAATAGCATCTCTGGCAGTGACTAGAAAGCAGGCATGACCAGTGTGTAAGTGGGGAGCTGGAACATGTTAATGCATATATGTGCCTTTCATTTTCTATGCACCATCTCCAAGAATGGTGCATTTCCACGGGACAATTTTTTCAGAGCTCTCTCTGTATCTATCTTATGCTGCAAGGAAATTGTAAAGCCTTTGTTGTGTCTTATAAAAGGGGGATGTTGAAGAGAGTCTGACAGTGGGTGCTTCACCTGTCATGGCTTGTTTAGTGGCTCCCTTTCTTTCATTCACTTTCCCTTCAGAAGCCTGCTGGATGCCTGCTCCTGAGGCCAACTTCTTGTGCTCTTTTCTTGGTTGAGAAGCTCTGGGAGTCTGTGGCCACTATGGATCAGGCTTACACTGACTTCTTTTGCAGTGCTGCATTTCTCAATCATATTCTTTCTCAGCATATGCAAGGCTCAATTGGAGAGTTTGCTGTGTTTGTCAGTAAAGAAGCTGCTTTCTTCTGGTTTTCCAGCCATGTGATAAAGCTCCTACAGCTTTAGAGCCTTTAGAACAACAAAAGGGTAATGAGTCTTCTGTTCACCTGCAGAGAGAGGAGTTGATGCGGTCATATAAGACACGGAGAGCCAGAGAGATCAGCTGGAATGGGACCAAATTAAATGCATTTACTCTGCACTGTTCCATTAATGCCAAGTAATTACCACATACAGTGGGATTTTTGTTTTGTTTTGTTTTGTTTCATTTTGGCACAAGAGAATTCTTTTCAAATGTGAATGCATTAGGCAGTCCAGGCTGCTGGGCTCTTAGGTAAATTATAACAAGCCTTCCCTATTCCCATATGTTCCTCTCCCTTCCCCTTGGCATTTGGAAAGCTGGCAATACAAAGATGGGAAATGCAAATACAGAGAGGAAGTCTCTTTCCCAGTGGCAGTGATGCTGGTTCTGCCACTCTGGTGCAAACTCTTGGCCTGACTTCTATCCCCAGGATGCTTCCTCGGCAAATTCAGAGCGGTCCAAAGATGGATATCAGAGAAATGTTCCAGCTAGAAGAAAATTTTCATTGGGGCATGCAATTCTCTTGTGTTTGAATGTGCAAGTACTGTCTAATCCCACTGGCACCCTGATCTCTGAGAACAGTACTGCCAAAATACAAAAAAACATACTCAGGCTGCCATGAAATTCCTATGCTAACCATCCATACTGGACATTAGGGACTGTGTTGAAAGAGGGATGGAGAAGGGTCAGAGAGATACAAAACTGCTGTATATGACAGTTCTTGTATTTTGGGGCCCAGGCAGCAATAAATGTAATGATTCTCAATGGAGTCCAGACTGTCCTCTCTTCTCAGTGAAGTGATAATTTCTATAGTGAAGGGCTGATAATTTTCTTGGCTTTATTTTGATGAGTGTCTAGAGGAAAAGAAAGAAAAGCACCTTAAGGTCTGTTGCTACTCCAGTTTTTTTTTCACATATACTATCTCACCACAAGTCCCCCAATCCCAACTTAAAGCTTTCAAAATGCTTGCTGGGAGGTGGGTCAGCACCTCTCCTTAAAGACCTCCATCAGCCCATGTAGCCTGATCATTCAGGGAAAAGCCTTCCGCAGCACAGTGAGGTAAAGCTTACTCCATGTTTGGAATGTGGATAGTGGCACCTCCTTTTTCCTCTCTTTCTTGGAATGGCTCTCAAAAAAACCCCTACAATATGTATGCCACTCTACAGGAACGTCATTTTCTCACTTGATTCTCCCAAAAACTGTGTTGTGGATCCCAGCTGATGGGAAGACAGGATGAGATGGGAAGAAGGAGACTCCTTTCCACTAGTGAATATTGTACTCATTTCCAAAGGCATCATCCCTTCCCTTTCACTATCTCTCAGTGGTCTGGGAGTGGATCTGGTTCAAGAGTCACATAAATTGTGTTCCAGCCAGGGCCTGTGGCAGATCTGCCAAGGCTGGAAGCTTTGAATCATGGAAGGAGAGCTTTTTTGCATTTCCTTTAGCTGCACTGTTTTCCTGAAATAAGATGTTTTGTTGTGAGCATGCATCCATGGCTGGAGAAACTCTTGTGGATGTCCTGTGCTTAGGTCGTGCTCCACCTTGGTGATTCCTACATGTTTTCTCTCTTCTCTCTAAATAAGCTGCACAATTTTAGGATAAGTGAAACATTCAGTTTTTAGGTACAAAAGTCACATGTCAGCAGTATGCCTGCTACAGACTGAAAATATATATATATATATATGAATCATATCAGATCATGCAGTACTCAAACAGTGGAACAGGCACAGGCAGCAGCACCCTCAACTTCTATAGCCTGTATCAGTTCAGCAGTCAGACAGGAGCAGTTGCCAACACTGAAAAATAACTATAGTCACTGAAAAACTATGCATGGTAGAAGGGGACACACTGAGCTTGAGCTGTGGGGAGATTTCTTGTTTCATAGCATCAAACGAGCACAGCGTTCACTTTACAGGGAGCTGTTACTGGCCCCTGACCACTGGTCCTCAAACAGGGAAAATTCAGCACATTGCCCCAGCTGGATAAGGTCTCCCCAGTACCCCATCAGTGAAAGCAGTTGTAAGATGAGAACTGTCCAGGATGTATGCTGGAGGAAAGTTTAAATCATGCATTACTATCTCATTAGTGTCCAGCTTTCCTAGCTTGCCTTAGAACTGTGGGCTCTTCACTCCGTTTCACTGCTGGAGCTGGAATATATTAAACTTTGGCATATGTTGATGATCTTGCCTTTGTCCAGGACTGCTGTCCTTGATGATGACGTTCAGGGGTTCTTTTCCTGACCATTAGCTGGTCATTCACTGACTCTGAAACCTTTCCTTGTCACGCATCTCCTGCATTTTTTGTCAACCAGTTATGCCTATCTTGATAGTTTAAAGCTAATACATCTTCTATCTCCAATTACCTCAAAGCTGGGATTTCTGTGAGAAAGATAGATTTGATAAAGCACTTTTGGGATTTTCAGTTGAAAATATGCACAAATCTGAATCATGATGCTCCATTATCTACAGGATAGTTTGCCCATGGTTAACAAGGCCATTTTAACATGCAGGGTTTATCATGTTTATACAAGATTGGAGACTAAATTTTAAAAAGTGAGAGTTAAGGAGTCATAGGTCTCAGTGATAAGGTAAATGACCAGTAACTGTTTTGAATGTGCACTGTTTTGTTGGAAGTCTCCTTTGGAAATAATTGTTACAGTCCCCAGGTGTCCTATTACAGTGTGCTCTGGTTTTACATAGAACTGACCTGCATTATTTACAAGTTGTCTCTAACTGATCATTCCACACTTCTCTGCAGATCAGAGGATTTAATTTCCAAGGTATTGTCATGCTGCTCATGTTTCTCTGAGAGGGTAGTGACTGTCCTTCTTTACAGTGGTATAGAGGTAGAATTACACTTGCATGCATGAGGAATGCTAGAGGAATGTCTTTAGGAAATGCAGTGAAGATAAGGCTGCTTTCCATGATGGGTGTCACTTGACTATTCTGACACTGGTTCTTCTGCTGAGTTGTTTTGGATCAGAGTAACTGCTTCTCCTGAATCATTGCTGCAAATGAGTGTAGCCTGACACTTGCACGTGTTGTTGGCTGTCCCTTTCCCACAGGTTTGTGTTCTGACCAGCCACCAAAGCTGGCCTGTTCTGCCTATTCAAGTGCTCCCGTTTGGACCTTTTATTAGCAAGACATCAAAGACTGATTTTGCCTTCTTGTAAGCAAAAGCAAGAAAAGAGCTTTTTCTTTGGTCTGCCCAAAATGCTTCCCTCATCTCTGTGACTTTTCAAGAGTTGCAAATAAAAAGAAACAAAAAACAAAGTCGTTACAAATTTTGTGCAAGATCTTTGGATGTAAAATCAAGTGAATGTAATAGTTGTTCAAAAGCACCCGAGTACTAAAAAGCAGACATGGGAGCACAGTGGTGTTGACTGTGACTAATGGAGATTAATAAATTAGTCAATATATGATACTTGTGATTTAGAGCCATCCTGAAGATTGTGGCTGCCTGACTCTTCTCGTGTTGCCAAATAATAAGAGAATGGAGCTTTGATGGAAGGGAGGGAATCCTCTCTTTTCCTTCCCACTGCTGACACCCTCAGTTATAAGCAGTGCTGTGTTGAAGGGGTTTCTCCATCAAAACTAATTACCCAAAATTATTTCAAAGCCATATGCCTATGCAAACAACTCCCAATAAGGGCTTTTTGCAGTAGCATTTACATCAATAATGTTTTTTCTCTAGATATCACACATTTTGTTTCATGTTGTTGACAGAATATATTGATAGTGTTGCCTCCTACCTTAAAGAGCTGGCATATTACAGAGTATGTCAGCCCTAAATCCAAGCTGGAATTCTCCTCCCACCTATTTCCCTCGATTTCTCCCTCATACTATGTTGGTATCACTGGAAGTTGAAGATGTTCATTTCCTGTCAGGGCACTGCAGGCATTGCATTCATCAGGAGTGGGCATCTGGGATACAGTCTAGAATACTGCAAAGATTGGACCTTGAATATGTGTGTTCTCCTGGAACAAGAAATAAAATTAAATCAACTAAAATATAACAGGCTGGGTGCTATTCTGGATAAAAAACAAGTTTCAGAGTGGGAAAGCTGTTGTGGATAATTTAACTCACATTCTGATCCTCTCTTTACAGCCACAGGGACTTAAAACCAGAAAACCTACTGCTGGATGAAAAGAACAATATTCGGATAGCAGACTTCGGGATGGCATCACTGCAGGTTGGGGACAGCTTGTTAGAAACCAGTTGTGGGTGAGTGTCTCAAAGCATATTGCAAAAATGAGTGATAGATTCCAGACACAGAAGTTGTCTATAGTAAGGGTCACTAAAGACCTGCAGACCTACACACTACATTGGTATTTTCCAGCAAGATAATAAGTTTATATATGCATGTAGTGTATCAGATAGCTAAAAGAAAGGGGCTTAAGTGCTGTACAGCGAAAAGCAGGCCACTGTAGGGGTCATATATGGATATAAAAATTAAGGTTTTCAGGTTTGGATTCATCTGCATGTGCTGATATATGTTTGCATTTACTGGCCATGTAGTTTTTGGTAACTGAAAGCAGTAGTGTTTACTATTGTAAGAAGAGACTTTGAAAATGTTAGGGAGTGAAAAAATAAATTAGTCTAGAGGTTCTTAAATGGAACTTGCATGTCCTGATTAGACTGACTGCTTGCATGCAGCTCTTCCTGTTCATGCTCCACACTGCTTTGTTTCAGCTGACATGCAGGATTGAGGGGGAGGAAGCAGGGTCCTTTGCAATTACAAGCAGGGCATGAATACACGTACAAAGGAGACTGCTTGGAGGAATATTGCAGGGGCAATCTAAAGACATTTCCGTGGCAATTCAGTTGCCAGCAAGAGCTTTGTAGGACTTTCCAAGGGAGCTGGCAGTAAGCCCCAACAGCTGAGCAAAGCCCGAGTGCCTGGCTAGGGACTGGACACGCTCTTCAGGGGAAGGCCCTCTCATCACCATTGTCCCTAGGGGCACCACTGGACGGTGTCCCACCCCCTCCCAGTGCTTTAGCATGGTGTCCTGTTGTCTGTGCAGGGGCTGCAGCAATGAACTGTAGCAAGGGCAGCACCTGCATCGAGCTGCTGCAGCCTGGCACCACTATGTCAGCTTTTAGCTGTGTCTGAATTTGTTTTAACAGCAAGCTCAGCAACTAGACCAGCAGATTTCCACTTCCTGCCATACAAAACTGACTATTGACAGGAAGCTGAACAGGAGCCAGCAGTGTGCCCAAGTGGCCAAGAAGGCCAATGGCATCCTGGCCTGTATCAGGAACAGTGTGGCCAGCAGGACCAGGGAAGTGATTCTTCCCCTGTACTCAGCGCTGGTGAGGCCACACCTGGAGTGCTGTGTCCAGCTCTGGGCACCTCAGCTCAGGAAGGATATTGAGATGCTGGAGCAGGTCCAGAGAAGAGCAAAAAGGCTGGTGAAGGGACTCAAGCGGAAGTCCTTGATGAGAGTCCTATGATGAGAGGCTGAGGGAGCTGGGGCTGTTTAGCCTGGAGGAGGCTCAGGGGAGATCTTATCACTCTCTACAGCTCTCTGAAAGGAGGTTGTAGCCAGTTGGGGATTGGTCTCTTCTCCCAGGCAACTATCAGTAAGACAAGAGGGCATGGTCTTAAGCTCTGCCAGGGGAGGTTTAGGTTGGATATTAGGAAGAAATTCTTAACAGTGAGGGTAATCAGGCATTGGAATGGGCTGCCCAGGGAAGTGGTGGATCCTCCATCCCTGGAGGTTTTTAAGATGAGACTGAATGTGGCACTTAGTGCCATGGTCTAGCAACTGTGGTGGTAGTGGATCAAGGGTTGGACTTGATGATCTAAGAGGTCCTTTCCAACCTGGCTGATTCTATGATTCTATGACTCTTTTTGGCCCTCGGTAGTCTGAATCTGATGACTTCAGCCCTATTCTCAGCTCATTACAGTCCATGCTTTTTCAGTCCGTGCTCTAGGCCAAGGCATTTTGGGGTAGACATGGAACCATTGGGGTTCCCTCTACAGCCCAGCCACTGCCTCTCAGTCCTAGGCTATATGGCCCTGCTTTCCAAGTCATGAATAATGGATAGCAAAATTATATGAAGTTCATGGTATGATAGAATGCTGGTTGATGAGTATACTGGGACCAACCTATTTTTTCCTGTCCATGTTTAATCAAGATTTGAGCTCTTAGCAGCACAGATGAAAAACAAGGAGCTGTGATGGCAAGGCTCACACTGTCCCACACGTGGATCAGGGAAACACCCAGTATCTTCAATACAGGCTGAGAGATGAAGGAATTCAGAGCAGTCCTGCTGAGAAGGACTTGAGGGTACTGATGGATGAAAGGCTGGACATGACCCAGCAATGCGCACTTGCAGCCCAGAAAGCCAACCCTGCCCTGGGCTACATCAAAAGAATCATAGCCAGCAGGTCAAGGGAGGTGATGCTGCCCCTCTACTCTGCACTGGTGGGACCCCACCTGGAGCACTGGATCCAGCTTTGCAGGGTCCTCAGCACAAGAAGGATGTCCACCTGTTAGAGCAGCTCTAGAGGAGGCCACAAAGATGATTGAAGGACTGTAACACTTCTCCTATGAGGACAGACAGAGAGTTGGGGTTGTTCAGCCTGGAGAAGAGAAGGCTCCAGGGAGACCTTGTTGCCACCTTTCAGTACTGGAAGGGAGCTGTCCTATAAAAAAGATGGAGACAGGCTTTTTAGCAGGACCTGTTGTGATAGGATGAAGGTTTTGAACTACAAGAGTGTCACTACAGACTAGATATAAGGAAGAAGCTTTTTTTCATTGAGGGTTGTAAAATACTGAAACAGGTTTCCCAGAGCGGTGGTGGGTGCCCTGTCCATGGAAACATTAAAGGTCAGGTTAGATATGGCTCTGGAATGAAGTCCTCCCTGCAGTTACGACAAAGCCTCTATCCTCTTTAGATAAAATTGTTCCCTTTCCCAACCCAGTCTCAGTTGCCCTGTAGGATTTTTCAAACTCCTTGGGAACCTCTCGGTAGGGTTCCTGTTCTTTTTAGCACCAAGCTCTGTCATCCAGATCTGGAGTCTCAAAGGGAGACTTCCTTCCCATAAGCTGTGCTGGAATTCAAACCTCCATGCTTCAAGCAGATCCAGCCCCCACATTGTGGCCTTAAAATGCGCTAATAAAGAAATCAGTGGAACGGAAGAGATGTGCCTGTAATAAACAGAACACAGCAGCAATGCTATGATCTCCTGCCTTGCAGATGCATTTTAAGTGTGTTGCCAATCACTAGGCCTCCGTGTGAGCTATTACACCACTTCATTAATTCTCCTGGCATGCAGCCCAGCGTGGCTGATACTGGTGTCTTGTGATCTCTCTGGTTTGGAGGGTGAAGGGAGGGAGGAAGGAATATATAAAAAAATGCCACACTGTTCACAGAGAAAGGTAATCCAGTTATGACTCCCTTTCCCTTGGAGCACACGCAGTAACCAACCTTAGAGATTTTCAAGGCAACAGTTTTACCTACCCTTGTAGTTGGTGCTTTCAGCTAGTGTGAAAAGGAACAAAATAGACTGAAACATGGCTGAGATACTGAGCCGTAATGAGATGGTCCTCCATGCACCCAGAAGTTAATTTGGAGAATGGCTTTATTTGTACAGTGAACACTGATAATGAGATGAAACTGTAACGTTTCCATTGAAAGTCATGCAAGGAGTCTCCAGGTATTTCTGTCAGTCAGAGTGGGAGGCTCAGATGGGGTTGAGCCATGTGGTACAGCTAACTTTGTCAGTTCAGCAGAGCGATTAGACAGCAGCCAAAAATTCTTTGCTGTCATGAGTGAACTGCTAAGTTTAGTCCAAAGTTTGGGTAGTCTTCAGGTCACCGCAGGGCCTTGACTGGCCTCATGAAGAGTAGCCTCATGTAGCCTGAAGTATGATCTATTGCATACCTCAGAGTCACTGTTTTCTGGGAGTTAGTCCTTAGGTTTGCATGGTTTTCTGTAGCACTGATGACAACCTGGAGAAAACCATAATAGTTCAATCCAGTTGTGTTTGTATAGGAGAGAGAGGTAAGGATGGACTTGCTGTTTCATTGACATAATTTCTCACTTAATGGACTGCTCATTGGGCATTGATTGTAATGAATCCCCATTACTGGAAATGTATATTGAGAAAATCCTGCATATACACAGCACAAAGGAATAAGCCATCGTTTCAAATTTCGACCCTCGAGGGGAAAGGGAGATGTGTGTAGGGTCTGCAGAACTTATTCTGCTTATGGCAGAAATTGCACAGCAAGGCAGTCTTATGGAGAGATGGTCCTTGAAATGCCAAAATAACACAGTGAGTCTCTGCATTCCTTCAGGAGCAGGGAAGGCCTGTCAACTAACAGCAGACAACGAAGGAAGAGAAAGATGTGATAGGCTGCTGCTTCTATTATTTTAGATCTCTTCAGCTCTTCTCCCTCTTTACCCATTCAGGCAGTGGCATGCAGAGACTCCCCTGTCTCTTTCACAGCAATTCTTCTGATGTGCTGTCTCATAGTGTTTCAGAGTAGATGTTGTCCAATCCACCCTGAATTGTCACTAGGCAAGAAGAGTGAGTGCTTTATGGTTAAACCTCAGGACTGAGACCCAGGTTATTTGAGCTTGATTTCTGTTTCTGCTGAAGGCATTCACAGTCTAGGACAAGAAGCATTGCCTTTCCCTGCTTCAGTTCTCCCTCTTAGCAAATCATTGAAGTGACTAAGTTGCTCTGAACATAAAATGTGGTGATTTCTGTAGGAGTCTTGGAAAAGTAGGAAGGGTTGGTGCATTCCCTAGATGATGTTCCTTTTTTTGAACTGAGGGCTTATGGCTAAAATGAAGGATTGAAGGAGGATACTGTTGCATTACAATTCCTTGGAGTTTGTAAAGATCCTTCCTAGTTCACCATTTACAGAAGCCTAGCAAAGTAAGTTTTTGCCATCTCTTAATTTCACTCTTTACAGCTTCAAAACACTACTGGATGGAGATGGGTGAAAGCCGCTGGGTGACAGAGAACCCGCAGTAGTGCTGGTCTCTGTACTGCCTGTGTCCCAGTCTCTATCTCAACCAAGAGCTAGGACAGAGCTGGCTTGTAAAGGTAGCTCACCCCAGCACCAGACCCAACCTCTGCAGGGGCAGTCAGGCTGACACTACTGTTGACAGCTCCCCAGTTAGCTGACTGTGTACAACAGTTCTCCTGTCTTGGTGTCTCCAAAGAAAACCTCGGCCTGATTCAGAAAGCCAATCGCATGTGG